AACATGAAGAATATTAGCATGATAATTAAGTGTAGTTAGCTGCAGAAGTAATTTCTTTATGACAGTGGTTCCAAGCATTTTTAGCTTGCGACCCCACATGACCTTTTATAAACATAGCAATTTACGTACAGTTCAAACAGACACTTCTCTTTCTTAGGTAGTTTTCTCTTGGTATAAATAAGTATGAAACTAGAAAACACCTAATAATAGGGTTTCATATGTACTTATTTTTTTAGGGACAGTATCAGTGAACGAAAGATATTCATATTACAAATTTAACATTAAAAACTTTTTCCTGCACCCTCAAGATAAACAGTCTCAAACTATAATTCTAGTCCCAAAACAGCAGCTGACCAACTAGCAGACTTCTCAGAAAACATTAGCAGCTAAGAAGCTAGCTAACACCAGCTAACTGGACTAGCAGACTTCTCAGAAAACATTAGCAGCTAAGAAGCTAGCTAGTCCTGTTAGCAGGGGCTAGCTACCCTCTTAGCTATCATTAGCAGCTACATTACCCTGGCTCCCTCTTGCGGTCACAGAGGTCCTGTTTTCGGCAGGCTCGGGCGTCCATCTTCCAGGTGTTTGGTCCTCCTGCGTCGGCTTCTTCTTGGGTAAACCGCGAGTGCTAAATGTTGGTAATTTGACTTTTAAAATGGAGCGAGGTTTCCTTCCTCCATCTCTCTTCTTCCTGCACTTGTCCACCTGCTGGCTCTGGGACTCGGGCTGGACCACGGTGGGGTCCGGCTGTGGTTCTTCTCTTTGACTGGAGCCCAGCTGAGACCCAAACCTGGGGACATACACAGTCTTAGCTGGAGACATCTCCTCCTCTACAAGTCTGAACTCTGCAGGCAACTCTGACTGAGACACCACAGACTGGGGGACACATGACGAGTTTTCATTTACTAGGGTTTGTTGTAGAACTGTCAGCCTGCAGGTGGCAGCATAATTATTATTATGTACAATATATAATACAATAACACCACAAACAATACTAAATTAATAAACAAAACCAATAAAAGCCAAATCAAATCACAGAGACTTTCTGGTCTGCATAAATAAGATTGAAATAAATAAATAGCTCAAGAAAGGCTTTCTTGTGGAAGTACATATTGAGGTATATGGTGTTTGTTTGACAGCATTTGTACAAAGATAAATACAAGATTGGACAAGCTTTGTGACGTGTTGCTCAAAACACAAATGGTTATCAAATAACTTAAAACTTGATGTGGTATTTCTGTAGAGATATGCCGAGGTCCAATAATAAGATTTCAGTTCTATCAGGATTCAGCTGGAGGAAATGTTTACACATGCAGACAGGCAGTCCTGAAAAGAACCTAGCATAGTGATATCAGTGGACTTAAGAGGAATGTACAACTGCGTGTCATCTGCATAACAGTGAAAGAAGATACTACGGAGGACCTCACCTGTTTTCTGGGTCATATTATCCAAAGGGTGGCTTGCATCTCAGAGTTTCTGTAAGTGGCTCAAAAAGCAACATTTATATACAGTAAATAAAATAATGTCTTTAAGTGCAATCGATAAGCCTCAGGTAAATGTATGCCCTGATAAGCCATTAGGATGCATTAATATTCAAAGAGCATTTTATCATTTTAGTTTTTGGACAATGAGACAATTTAAATCAGTTGTACTGCAGCTTAATCTACACTAACGCATTGCATTTTATAGGCCTATCCCTTTTTTTAGGTTAAATCTTATTTGTAGCATAGTTAGCAACTATAGATACATATACTACCTGTAGATTGGTGGAAATACTGCAGTATAGCTTCCAAAAATGTACTTAAGTATAATATTTCCCGGGAAGATATACTCAGTTACATTCCACTAATGCAAAGAACAAGTTCAAATCACGACTGGACA